CCCTGAGGAGTGAGGGGTCCCAGCCCCACACCATGTTCTCCAGCCCAGGGTTCGGTCCCAGGGGGAAGACGTCCGCACAACTTCTGGCTGTGAAAACCAGTGGAGACCTTGGTCCAGTGAGATGGAGGGTGACTGGAGTCCCAGGCATTTCTCTTAAAGGGCCAATGCACAGACTTACCCACTGACGAACTCGCTTGCTCTGAGATCCAGCACTGGGGCAGCAGCTTGAAAGGCACCAGGGACATAAGGGGAGGAACTGAATTGTCTGGCTTCGGGATAAGGCCTGGAGGGGCAGCTTTTTCCCAGACAGAAGAGCTAGCAGAAGCCATTTTTCCTTTGTTGAGCCCTCCTCTCGCTCAGACGCAGATGCAGGCGGCCCCTGTATCTGAGTCTCCATTAACCTGGCTAACGCAGGAGCCCCACCCTAATGATTCCCTGAGACCCCGCCCCCCCCAACTTGTGAGCTCACACAAGCTGCTTCCGGTGGCTTTTCCATACAAACGGCCTGCTTCAGACTTTCCTAAAATCTCTCAAAGGTTCACAAACCCCAAATAAGCAGCATCTGGCCTCAGCACGCCCCGTACCTCCTGCTAAGCAGCCCTGTGCCTGGCACTAGCGGCAGCTGGCCTCAGCATAAGTGGCAACCATTTGCAGATCATTTTGTAGCTCACACCTTGCAGGGCACGGCATAGGCCACAGCTGAACTTGGCCTGTACCAGAGCCCCTCACGAGGGACTCCAGAACCAACACACCTGGTGGCCGGGCTCAGACCATACCAGAGCACCACCCAACCACCTCCACAAGAGACACACCCAAAGGGCAGCCCGTGCAGGCACCTGAGCCCCGCTAGAGTGAATTCTCCTTCACAGGGTGAATCCCTGCAAAACAGCTCCACTGTCATCATGGCCGGTCCTCACGGCCAATCAGCCCGAGGGTCACCTCCTCCCACTGACGTGCCAATAGCAACCGAGGCTCAACCACAACAGGAGGGTAAACACAACCCACACAAGGGACACGCCTGGAAGACCGGCTCAGGTGACCAGGGAGACTGCGCCACTGGGCCCTACGAGACACCTACTACATAAGGCCACTCTACCAAGACCGGGAGATATAGCAGCTCTACCTAATGCATAGAAACAAATACAGGGAGGCAGCCAGAATGAGGAGACGAACACGTCTCAAATGAAAGAACAGAACAAAACTCCAGAGAAAGAATTAAACGAAGTGGAGACAAGCCATCTACCAGACACAGAATTCAACACACTGGTTATCAGGATGCTCAAGGATCTCAGTGAGAACTTCAACAAGGAAATAAAACATAAAAATGGAGATGGAAAACGTGATGAAGAACCAGAAATGTGTTCATATGTTCACTACAGCATTATTTACAATAGCCAAGATATGGAAGCAACCTAAGTGCCCATAGACAGATGAATGGATAAAGAAGAGGTGGTACATAGATAGGATGGAATATTACTCAGCCATGAAAAAGAATAAAATCGATATGATGGAATATTACTCAGCCGTAAAAAAGAATAAAATCTTGCCATCCGCAACAACCTGGATGGACCTAGAGGGTATTGCGCCGAGTGAAATAAATCAGAAAAAGACAAATACCGTATGATTTCATTTATATGTGGAATCTAAAAACAAAATATGGGAACAAACAAGGCAGAAACAAGTTCATAGATAAAGAGAACATTTCGATGGTTGCCAGATGGGAGGGGTGTCGGGGTGATGGTGAAAAAAGGGGAAGAGATTAAGAAGCACAAGCTGGTAGTTACAGAATAGCCATGGAGATGGAAAATGTAGCGAAGGGAATATCGTCAGTAATCTGGTAATAACTACGTATGTTTTCACATGGGTATTAGATTTATTGGGGTGATCACCTTGTAAGTTACGTAAATGCGTAATCGCTATATTGTATACCTGAAACATAATATCATATGTCAACTACGATTGAAAAATAAAAATTATTTTTAAAAAAGAAATCAGGTGTGACCTTTGGGGACAAAGATCTGAAGAACACAGATCCTCAAATCTGCTATTAATTTATATTTTCCCTCCAGAGGACATTGCGACTTTGATTCCTGAGTGTCTCCCAGAAAAGAGACTGCACCTTCTTTTCCTCTCCAGGCTGCCACAGCAGTGACTGGACGCTGCCGGGGAGAGGACGGCGGGCCTGACCCGCTGGAGCTGGTGGCAGGGTCCTCGGGCTGCTGTCTGAGGCGAAGGGACTGCCTTCCTGCCATGGTTCCCACGTGTGCTCCATTCGGGCTTCTGCGTCTGATTGGGAAGCTCCTTTGTGCTCTCGGGAGAGGGGGGGCAGCTGGAGTTTTGAGTGAAGGGCACCTGTAAGGCCTCTCCAGGAGAGAGTAGGAGAAGGAGATTCTGATTTGAAGGAGAACTGTGAAGAGGTGCCGCATGGGAAGAAGGGGGAACGCAGACAACATTATTTCCGTCCCCCCTTCTCCTGCAGAGGTGGACTTCGGGATTGGAGTTCAAATGACTCACCTGGAACCTTACGTACCAAGGAGCACAGTCTCGGCCAAAAGAACTTGGAATTTCCCAACCCCAACGTCTGCTTCAGACTTAATCCCTAAGTCCCCCTCCGCCCTGACCTCTCACAGACTCCCTCACCGTTCCTCCCTGCCACCCCCACCCCGACCCCGCTGGAGCATGACGGCCCAGACCCGCCTCGCTAGGCAGAGAGCGGGGCCCTCTCCACAGAGCGCGTGTCGCAGGAGGATGCGGCCTCCTCCCAATGGCTGGAGTCTGAAGAGCTTCAGCATCTTCCGGGTCAGAGGCCAGAGCGGTAAAGGGCGAGCAATGCGGGTCAGAGCGAGGAGGGCTTCCTCACGGTGGCCGACTCTTGGCAGGTTCATTTTCCTTGGCTGGTCGATCGATTTCCAGATCCGGGTGCTGGCTGAGCAGTTTACAAACAAGAACTCGGTTGATCCCAAACACCCCTGAGGGAAGTGCTGTGTTTTCCTCACTTACAGATTTAGACCTGAAGCATCACAGAGCAGGGCCCCCGTATCCCCTCCCCACAGGACCCCCTGCGTCTGAGGGGTGAGGCCCCCCAGGTGGGAGACTGCCCGCTTGCTGTTCCTCAGACCTGGACTAGGACGAGAGCTTCAGGGAGGCAGAAATGAGGTGTTCTGTGTCACCCTGCTCTCCAGTCTAGCGAATATGTTTAAGATCAAGTATATTTTCGTGAAGAGGCATTAAACTCTTCTATTTTCCCTCGTCAAAACAAATTGTAGTCATGGGAATGGCTCCCTTTAAAAGTAAAGCAGAAGCTGCCTGCTTCACGAGGTCGTCAGCCCTGGATCACTGATGTTCAGCTGTTTCAGAAACGGGGCCGCGATGGCAGAGGCCCAGGGACGGCGCAGCCCCTCCTGGGCCTGGTGCTGCTTCTGGGGAGCCCGGAATTCTTCTGTCGTGTGGCCTACTGACCGTGGGGGTGTCCCCACAGAACTTTAGGGCCATATCTCCAACTACGTGGCATCCAAAGCTGCTTGTGTCTGGGCTACTGAGCTGAAACCAGGCCTCAAAGTTGCTGGGGCAATGCTGGCCCTCAGTGAGGCTCAGGCTGTGAGTTTTCTTTGGTGACGTCGTTGTGGTTTTGTGGGAAGGGAGCCCTCCTTGGCCCCTTCCAGTTTACCCCCCACCATCTACCACTCACATCTAAAACACCCCCCTGGTCCAGCCAGGTCTCGCCCTGCTCAGGTCATACCTCTGGAGCTGGGCCTGCCCCCTCTCCAGGCAGGGGTCCTAGGCCTGGTTTGCAGGGACAGACTGGCCTTTCCAGGGCAGTGTGTGAAAACTCTCATCCTTACCGAGCCTGATTTAGGGGCCTGGGGCCTGGCTTCTCACCCATTTTCTGACCCATTCACTGCCTTTTTGGAAAGCACCCCATCCCTTTGTTCCTTCTGAGATCCCGGGGTCACCTGTCAATCCATTTCTCCCTGGAGACCACAGCAAACAGGACTCCTGATGGCCTCGTCTAACGTACGGGAAATCTCGGGGCCCCGAGGAGGTTGCTCTCTTGCCCAGAGCCTCCCTAGCCCACAGTTCCAGAAATGATGTCAAAAACCGAAAGATGCAGATGCCTGGAGAAACAGAGGCCATCGTCTTTCATTTTAAGATACAGACATTAAAAATTAGAATGCCATTCTCCAGCCTTCGCCCTGCATTTCCCGTTCGGGGCAGAACCAAAACATGCCAAGGACAAAGGAGGACACTATCTATTCTCCAGAAGGTTCTGGAGCCGCAGGGCAGAGCCCCCTGGCCTTTATCATTCTTTTGGACAGCCCGTCCTACTTGTCAGCTTCATTCGAAGGGATTAAGTGCTTAGGTGAGCCACAAACAATGACCCAACCAACGCCTGCGTTGAAAAAACATCTTTATTCAATTTTCTTATAAATGGGAAGGCTAAAATGCACACGTCAGGCCTAAGAGCTAGTTGAACAAAGGTCGGGAAAAAATAATGCTATCTAGGGAAAGCTCAAATTCTATTGGACGCACAGCTGCATGCAGGCACCTGCTTGCCTGACGTTCTGCCTCAGCACCGAGCCTGTGGTTTCAGGAAAGCCTGCCCTTGACCTTCTGCACCCCGACCTCAGCCCCCTCACCCCCACGCCCCCACCCCAGGTGCCTGGGCCAGAGGGCACAGAGTTCAGGTGCCGCTGGGTGCCAAGGTCGGGGCGCGTGGTTCTTCCTTTCTCCCTTGGGTTCCAGAGCCTGCACAGCCAACGTCGGGGGGCCACCGCGTGCGTTCTCCTGGTCACACTGTAGAACTCAGAGGCCAGCCACGGGCGGTGTAGGTGCTCGCAACGTGAAGGCCACCACGGCCAGGACCACGGCCAGGAAGACCCCAGCGGAGATGGCAGTGCTGTGGCAGCTCCCGGGGTGCTGGCCTGCTCCTGCGCGGCAGCCCTCAGCAGGTCGGAGAGGGAAGGGGCGTCGGGGTCAGGATGAGCCCAGTGCAGACAGACAAGGGAAACGGGCGGGGCGATGGCGTCAGGGCTGGTTGTCTAGCAGGAGGAGGAAAAAGAAATGGGAAAGAGAATAAGACACTGCGGCCAGACCCCAAAGGGCAGCTGAGTGTGGGGCAGGGAGAGTCGCCGTGTCTTCTCGGCCAGTGGGAGCCAGGAAGGGGCTCTGAGCAGGAAGTCGGAATGAGGTGCTGGGAGATGAAATATGCTGGAGGCTCCCGATGGATGGGAAGGGAGAGAGCTGGGGCGTTCGAGGCCAATGGGGAATGGACACAAGAGCCTCGGGCAAGAGGTACCCAGGCCTTGAGCTACTGCAGTGTGAGGGGGACGACAGGGGAGAGGAGAGGAGCGAGCAGGGGCCCCCCGGCCCCCTTCGCTCCTCGCCCTGTCCTGCCATCCTTCTCTCCGGAGCTGATTCCCACTGGAGGAACCATGTGTTCCACGTGTGTCCCCACCTGCTGCAACGTAAGCTCCTTAGGAGTGTGGATTTTGAGATCTTTCTGTTTCTAGTTGCTTGTCCCTTGGCTCACAGTAGGCCTTCGATAGACATGCGTGGAATGAGGAAATGAGGAACGAGCCCAGGATCAGCTGGACGTGGGGACAGCTGGACATGGGACACGAGGAGACAGAGAGCTGTCAAAGACGCTCCATGGGGTGGAGCCCTGGGCCGGACGGGAGGATTCGCGACAACTTCTGCTTCCCCACCCCTGGCCCTGCCACCAGTGCTACCGCGTCTGTCGACCTGACCCCGGCCTGGACCATAGATCCTGCGAGCCACTCTGCAAACATCCACACAAACAACAAACGGCACAGCAGGAAACATGGTCCCCATCCCGGAGGAGGAAAACGAAATGGCCTGTGCAGTGTCAGGCCTTGTGAGTAGTCGGAATACATCAGGCCTGCCTGCCCCCCTCGGCCCTGCCCAGACCCCGATGGCATTTCCACTGGGACAATGTGATTACTGTCACAAGGAACGATGTTCTCACTGACCCTGTTAATACTGGGGACAATAATAATAGTAACAAAAGCCGCCATTCATCCCACGCAGAGGCTGAGGCAAATTAACTAATATTGTTTTAGGTAACCCTCTCATCAGAGGTAGATACTGATAGTTTTGTTCTACAGACAAGGAGTGTGAGGTTCTGGGATTTCAGAACCCAGAGGATAAAGGTGTCACATGTGTCCCAGGTCAGAACTCTCGACCAAATCCGACTTCTGGGTCCTCATAAACCAGGAGCCCTAGGAAAAAGGAAGGAGCCAGGTCTAGCTGGACTCCGTATAGCCTGGCATAGCACAGCACACCTGGCACACAGTAGATGCCCAGTTCCGGTGAAACATGACACCAACGGGAACATCCTGAGTCCCTGCGGGTCATGCGCCTGGGCCCCGGCAGGCGGCAGGGTGGGAGGGCGGCCACCTACCCAAGCTCCTCTTTTTGGCGTGTGGGGCCTGCAGCCGGATGGGTCCCAGGATGACGTCCACCTTCTGCTGGTAGGAGCCCACGTCCCTCTTGGCCCTCACCACGCAGCCTCTGTGGCAGCGGGAAGAATAGTCGTAGGCCCTGCACACCACCACCCGACACTGCAGGTACACAACAGGAAGTGGAAAAGGAGTTGATTGAAGCGGGCGATGCGGGGCGACGGCTGATGGTAGGATTGGTAGGTCTCGTCCTTCACGCACCTGGAAGAAGAGAACAGTGACCCGCTCGCTCTTGCCAGCGCGCTGCGCTCCTTGCGACTTGGGTGTGTGGGGTGTGGAGCCCCCCAGCCCGTCCTCGACGCCCACGCCTCCTGCCTCCCCTCGCTTTCCTTCCTTCTGAACATGTGACCCAGACATTGGCTGTCAGCCCTGCAGGACACTCCTGGGAGCTCTGGCGCGTCTGCAGCGTCCCGAAGCAGCAAGTTGGCCCGGGGTTTCCATGCGGACAAGCAGGCCCCACGCTGCACAGCGGGTGCGCAGTGACTGTGTGCTCAGTGGCCCCGGGTGACCCAGGCGAGACCAGGAATAGCAGGGCCCCAAGGGAGGACAGGAAGGAAGACAGTGTTTCCTTCCCTTTCCTGGTCTCAGGGCCAGGCAAGGTGACAGTTGGCCACTCTCCGGTGTCTTTGCTGTCCCTCCCTCTCCAGACTGTGTCTCCTGACCTATCTCAAGCATCCCTGAGTACCCTCCAGGTGTTTGAAGCCCAAGGTCATTCTAAGGGGCATCCAGGTGGGTGATTTGATTGATGCCCAGGTGTAGTCAATGAGTCCCTCTGCTCTCGGTACAGTTGGGACACCTCTATCACCACACGCACATCCCCTTCCCAGGCAAAGGCTGACGTCTACCCCACGAAGACGCTCCTTACCCGCTCCGGATTAGATCATAAGTCAAAGATGTGAAGTCGTTGGAATATGGTGATGCCACACAGGTGTCCACAAACAAGGCCAAGGAGTCATCAGAATGGAGGATTTCGGCTTGAAGGTATAAATTCTGGTTCAGGTTCACATAGTAGGGGCTGCTGGTCACGGGATATAAGAACGAAGAAGATGTGTAAAAGGAAATGTTCACGTCGAAATTGCCGTACTGCACTTCCTCGACCTCGATGCTGTCGTTGGCGATGTACATCACGTCGACCCAGGTGTCCTGGAGCATTCTGCAGCTGACGTGAATGTAGAGGTCCCGTTTCCTCTTGATGATGCCGCTTGAAACAGCTACTTTGAGGAAGTTGGAATAGGTGATGGTGTCATTATCCACCTGGGAGAGGCAGGTATGAACGCACAGTCAGGCAAATGCAACCGCGAAGGAGGTCTCATTACTGATTTTGGTTAGAATGACAAGGAAGGGACTCGACAAGGTTTCAAAACCCTCCTAGAACCACACAGAGATGGCACCTGCCTACTGCCAATGGCCACCATCGCCTGGGACGGACATGCTGCTGAACTAGCGAAACGTCCTCCTTCACACGTCCTCTTTCCTCTGCCATGTGATGGGGGACCAGAGTGTGGACCAGCAGCTCCTGGGGCTGCTCCCTTTGGAAGGTGGGTGTCTGGATGACCCTCGTCCTGCTGTATGACTAAGCTGAGTTTGGGCTCCATGGCTCAGGGCCTTTCTGGCTTGTTCTGTTTCATTCTCACTGCTGCTGGGAGAACTCAGGACAGGCAGTCATGTGCTCGTGGGGGGGCATGTGCCGTTTGGGTGGGGCAGAAGCTACTGTAGCTCGGTGTCCGAAGCTATGGGGCTGGTGTGGACAGTCGGGCGGGCACAGCAATGTGGGGGCGCTCCCTACCCCGCTCCGCACTTCACTCCCTGTACCACGGGGCCACTGCCAGCTGCGCCTCTCACCCAGCAGCCAGTTCATCAGAATGTTGGTCTCTCGTGTCATTCGATGTTCCTACCATCCTTTAAGGGGAACTTTTCTGGGAGTGAGAACCTTATTCCTGGTAGTCTGTGAGCATCTCAAGAAAAGGATGATGTCTAAACGTCTAAACACCTCTCCTTTCCCAGGGCTTAGTACAGTGTCAACGATAGCATCAATAGCATCAATAAATATCCAATGAATGAATGAAAGGGTCAGAAGATAGAGCCCAGCAAAAGTACTGTGATGAATGAAGGAGGGGGCAGGAGCGGCCAGCCCGAATGGCCGAGAGGACACAGGTGAGCAGAGCCCCCTGGAAGCTTCGTGGTCATGACCGTCTGGCCCCAAATGAAGTGAGCACACGTGAAGCAGAGTCAGGCGGAGGCCGGGTGGCGGCGGGAAGCTGTTTGCCTCCCAAATGCTATGATGGTCAGAAGCAAACTTCAAGCCACGTACAAGTTCCCACAAGCCGTGGCTGCTTTTGCAAGAAAGAGCAAAATAATAACACCACAATGGCCTCAATGGAAGTCCTAAAATATAAGGCACTTGCACTTTATAAAAGAAGGAGGAGGAAGAGAAGGAAAGTTGGTCATTCAGTCGCATTTAGTCATGTATGCTGTCAAGAGCAAAATGCCATTCCTGGCCATGTGGGTGATCAGACAAGTGCCCTTCTGCTCAGCTTAAATAGAATTATTTTTCAGAGCATAGCGTGTTGGAGGGGCTTTCACTTCATGTCTGCAGTTGGAGAACTCAATTCTGAATTTGCCCCTTCCAGAAAAAAGCATGGAAAAAGAGAAGAGTTTAACAAGTAATTTGAAGTGGGTTTGCCACCTCTAGGACCCTTCCCTCCCCGGCTCAGATCACAGGTTTCCTCTGTCTCCCTACAGAGGGCAGCCAGGGAGGGGTCTCTGCGGTCCCAGACCTGGGGCAGGGCCAGCTGGCCTGCAGGGGGCACCAGAGCCCGCACTTGGGACTCAGGTCTATGCCCTCCGTCTGCTCATGGAAAGTACACTATATTTTATAAAAAAACTTTTTCGACTTTATATTTGATTGTCAATGGTTGTCACATACACTATAGAAGTGTTGTCACCTTGTTACTCTCTCCAAGACAAGCTGAAGTCCCTTCACCTGAACTCTGCACATAAACACGCAAGTTTTCTGAGAATCCACATTTGCCTGTGGTTTCTATGGTTAAACGACTAAATTCTGAACCCGTGCCAAACAATGAACAGGGAATGGAAGCTTTATTTCTTGGCCGTAAGAAGCGGTTCTGATCTAAGATTAAAATTCCTCGTTAGTCGTCTGCTGGGTTTGGAAGGGACCCAGTACGCAGCGGGAGGACTTGCAGATAAGTCGGCGGTATCCTCACCGCGTCGTGGGCTCTTCCACCGTAGTGTCCCGCTCACGTGCTAAGGGGCCCTCACCTGCTCAGCCACACCAGCCGACATTCGTCAGACACCCACTCAGTGGGTGCCTGGACTCCTGGCTCTGCAGTTCATGGTCACGTGGCCTCAGGCAAGTGACTTGACTTTGTAAGCCTCCGTTTCCACGTGATTAAGTGGGAATAAAAGTTGTCGGGAGAATTTTGAAAGTCACGGAGGACTCTTAGCTGTTAGTTGTTTGATTAGAAAGGCCTCAGGAGCCCTGGGAGTTCCAAATCTGAATAAAACACACTAGTAAGCTGAGGTACTCGGCGTGGGGGGGT